TTTTGGTTTTTTTTTTTTTTTTTTTTTTTTTTTTTTTGTACTTTCGGGTTTTTTTTCTGGAATTGATTCAGGAGCTGGGAAAAAATTTGTATTGTTGTGAAGCATTGTATTTGAATCTGGTCTCATCCAAATATGATCAACATTTTTGTTGTATTTCGATGGTTGTGATGAGTCGCCGTTACACAGGCAGGTGCCACGTGTCAGCCAGCCAAATAATTATTTATGAATCTGAGGTTTCGTGGATCTCAGAGTTTTCTTGATGAGGTTCTTATTCGTCAACATACTATTTCAGCCCGGTTTCTGTTCACTGTTTATTTTATTTTTTTTTTCATTGTCTTGTTTCCACTTCGTTATGCTGCCGGCAGCGTCACTGTTTCACTCAAAACTTTTTATTTTGTTGGTTTCTTGATATATTTTTTTAATCTTTTTTTTTTTTTTTTTCTGATCATCCTCCTTCCCCGTATATTTTTTTCCACTACAAAAAGGATAAACAATTTTTTTGTTCTGTTTGCTGATTTTTGGGCATTTTTTATTTACTCATGTTTTCTAATAAAGATTATCGTTGCTACATAACTTTTCTGTGTAGTATTTTCATGTGGAATAATATTTCTGGATGTGAAACAAAAATGATTCTAAGGTTTATTTTAATTGTACTTAATGCTTGATTGAAAACGTTAATCTGATTCGCTATGTATGTGTTAATACAGTTAAAGCAGTTTTGCTTTTTCTAAGATAAAATTTGAAGGAAACTTCTACAGTGTAGAAGTAAATTGTTTGAACAGAGAACTGTCATCTATGCTGATTTTAGAATGTCACATTTTATACTTAACCCTTATTTTTTCTTTTAAGGTAACATGGCTTACCGAATTTTCTGTTTAATTAATTAGCCTCGCAACCATATGGAGTCAAAAAGTGAGAAGTTAGCTCAAGCTCGCAAAAAGGCAAGTTTGTTTTGTAAATTTTACCGGTAGAGACATTTTTTGTTAATATTGTTTAGTATTATTCTGCGCTATTAAACTTTGGTTTCAAAAAAATATGTATTATCATTAAATCTTATTCAGTTGTTGCCTGATGTAGATCTACCTGATATATTTTTGCTCATTCTTAAGTTTAGAGTATTTTTCGTCTAAACTCTGAATCGTCTTCTGTTTGATCTGATATGTTTGTTAACGTTACAAATTTTGCTCTTAGTCATAGCTTCCTTTTGATGGATTGTGATACCTCATGTTTTTAGCTTCTAAATTATCAGAGGAAGCAGCAGAAAACACAGGTAGAAGTATCACCGGCTTCAAGCATATTTAGTACCGACTCAAATTTTCCGCGCCCTACTGGCAGAATACGTATGTCATAGCTGCGGTTTGTAAACCTTGTAAGTGGCTTTTATTGCTTCAGAGAGGTATAGGATTAATTGCAGAATCTGCTCCTTCCTTCAATCACGATGAAAAAAGAAGCCCATTTGAATGGTTGCACCAGTCGTCACCTGATCGAGATTCTGTCGAGCCAAGCGAAGGATTTAGAAATAGTGATCACTGCGACCTTTCTACAACGTCGGCTATAGTATCATTAGAAAATGGATTAGAAGCTAATAATGTTGCTGAAGAAAGTACTTCTGAGACACCTTTAATTACTGCAGTGAGTTTTATCGTTTTAACTTTGACATATTGTGCCTTTTCATACAAAAGCTCTTTTATTTTGGATTTTCTTCCTTTCTGAGTTGCTCATACAGCTGAATGACTTTGCGATAAATTTCCTGCATGTCATTTTAGTTATTTTTTGGCTTTTAAAAGGTAACTTAGGAAGAGTATCGTCGAGTAAACGATGCACTCTCTGAAGCCTTACGGGAAAAGGAAACGCTTTCGACTCGCTTAGTCGAACTAGTTTGTTCTTCTTTTTTATGTAACCTAATTCGGCTTTTTCGAGAAATTCAGTCTGTTTAGTATTCTTGTGGAAAATTAGACGATTTTATGGAAGAAGAGGCTAAGTAGAAGAGCAAAGCGGAATGAACTTAGAATTAAGTGATCATACACTTTAAAGTTTCTTTAGAACCAACATTACTCAGAAATTTATGCTGCGTATAATGCGTTAGTCGCTACAGTCCAGTCTGGCGGGTCTGGAGATTCTGAAATTCAAACTCAGTTAACACAACTCAGAACTGTGAGTAATTACTGTTTTTTTTGTCTTTTTTATTGCTTTGTGATCATCTTCCCAAGTGTTGCTGTTTACACTTCAAAAAGAGTACCATATTTTAAGGCGATGAGTGTAATTGTCGAGGAAAAAACCTCTTTGCAGCAGAAATGCAGAGAGGCTAACGAGGTTGCCCAAAGAAGTATGGAAGAGTTAGAAGCTTTTAAGGTAATTTTTTCCACAATTTAATTTTTTTAAAGATACTATAAGAAATTTGTTCCTTTTTGGCTTTTTTAGTGGACAGATTTTCCTTGCGTGAGTGATATGTTATTGCGTTTTTAAATATATTTTTGATTTTAAGGGTATTGTAAAAGATAAGACAATGTACATTGCGTCTTTGGAGCAAGAATTAGGTGAAATTAAAAGAGGGAGTGAGGAGTCGGGTGCAGTGATACAAAGGCAGAAAGAGGAGTTGGATAAAACCCGTAAAGAAGTAGTTTCTCTGCAAGCTAACATCTTACACATACAACAGGATCGGAACGATGCGCAGGTCGGAGTGTTTTCTTGGCAACGAGACACTGATGCCACTTTTTCACCTCTCTCTTTCCCCGTTAGATTTTTACAACTTTTACAGGAAAGGTTAAAATTCTCATTGAAGTCGGCAGAACAGTTGCAAGCTGAACTGGATGAAACCCAAAAACAGTTACGCATGAAGGATTTGTACATACGGCAGCTTAGTTTCTATTCAGCTTCTGCGACAGTTAATGAACAGGACATTCAAAATCTTCACAGTATTTTGCTTTCTCTACATTCTTTACTTTTTTTCCTCAATCCTTCTACAATCAGCTGCGTACTGTTCTTATTAGTTTTAGAAATTATGCACTAAAATGTTTTCAAGGTGAGAATGAAAGACTTAATGCACAAATAGTGGCCGCGCAGAATGAAGCAGATCAGTATAGGAAAGAAGCCCAAGCGGCTCGAGAACATTATGAAGCTTATGGAGCTGAATTGAACCAGAAAGTACTGTCTTTGAGTAATCAGGTACAATCAGTAGATTTCTTTGTTCAATTTTTTTTTCTTTTGTAATGTGGAAATGATTCACTTTCAGCTTGATGAAGTGAGCAGAGAAAAGATGATTCTACAAGACAGGCTTCAAACTTTAGAAGAGGAAAAGTGTACGCGTAAACCAGGGAACGTTGACAGTAATTATGCAGAAGTTCCTAAAAGTGAAAATGTAAGTCTCTTAAAATTTTGTCTGCAATGAGCTTTTTCACAGGTCATTACTCATCATTATCTTTTGTTCATATATTCTTTGTTTTGTACCATTCTTTTGGCCATTTCGTAGCGAAGCCCAAAATTCGGTCATCATTTTCAGTTGCAGGAGACAACAGAACATTCCGCCAACGATTCCACAAAATTATTGGAAGAAGTTGAAAATTTAAAAGTGCAAACAAGTGAAGCGCAGCAGAAAATAAATGAGTTGGAAGCTACAGCATCGGACTATGCAAAGCATTGTGCTGAGCTGGTACTGCGCTGTTACCTTTCCTCCACCTTTTTTTTAGCTTTAAGATTTTTTTGAAAAAATAAATTTTACAATTTTACATGTCTTTCAGTATTTATCAATTTTTTCTTAAAACAAAAGTTTTCTCACTTTTTGAGTAGCTTTTGCTGTGTATTTAATGCTCTTAAAGAAAAATATTTTAGGAAAAAGAATTGTCTGTTAAGGTAACGGAGCTGGAAGCAACCAACAAAAACATGTCACGGCTTCAGAACCAAATAGATGAACGCGAAAAGGCATCTCAAGTAATGGTCAAAGTTTTCTTGTTTTTAAAACAGAACTAATTTGACTTTTATAGGACTTTTTTCGTCTGTCTACCGAGCTGCAAAATGAGAAAGCAACTTTATCAAGAGCTATTGCGCAAAATAGGGAGCTGAAGGAGCAGCTAATTGAATTACAAGATAAAATGATCTCTTTATCTACTGTAAGTTATGGGTATTTCCTTTATTGTCGTTTCCTGCAATCAACTTTTGATCTTTTTTATACTACAGAAGAATATGGAAAGCGAAAGCGAGAGGCTCACCGGTCTGCACACCATAGAACAACTAAAAGCAGAAATTGCTGCTATGAAAGGATTAACATCGTTAAACGGTGTTTCCGAAGGAAGTGGTTGTGATAAAACTGTAAGCGAAGAAACTTCGAAAGTATTTTGTGACAAGGTATGGTTAATTCAAGCGCTTTTATTCATAATTTTTCAACAGCTACGTTTATCACTCTTTGTTCTTTAGAAAGCAATCATTTTTTCTCTGATTTTAGCAGCTACTGTTTATTTAGACCCAAAATACGGAACAGGTTGATATGCTTGGTGCTTCTTCGTCTAATGATACAGGAGTTGCTGACGAGGATAAAGGCATAAAGGCAGAAGAGAGAGTGGCACAGCTAGTTTCCCAGATAGAGGAATTAAGGTCTGAAAATCGGAGAATTATTCAACAGAATGAAGAGCTACACAGGTGCGGGACTTTCTTTTTTCTGTATTTCTTTATGATTTGCCTTTCATTTTTACCTCCACGTGTTATAAATTGATTTAAATTGGTTTTCTGCTTCTTCTTAAGAAACCAATTGAATTATCTGTATGATATGTTGTTGCTGAATTAATCCTTTCTACATATCATTATATTCCTTGTGGAAAAGCTTTTTGAAACAGTAGTTTTTTGGCATGGAAGGCGTTTATATTGGTAGTTCTTAGCAGAAGTCGCTGTGTAGAAAAGTATAACAACAGAAGCTTCATTCAATTCGTTAATTTGTATGAATTAATGAATTAATTATAGAATAATGGAACAGAATGCAGAAGACGAAAACCAAAACAATATCCATGTTGAACTTGGTCAAGCAATAGAAAGGTTTTTTTTCTTGAGTAATCTATAATCCTCTTTTTCCTACTGGTTACGTATTTTTTGACGCAGATTTATTTCTTAGCTGCTTTTAAAATTCACTTACAGTGTTTATATATTTCTTGTTTTTTGGAGCCTTGAGACCGTTTAATTCGATGTTATGGTTCTGAATGATCGCAATTTTAGAATAGATACGTTGTCTACTGAAAACGAACGTTTAAGAAATTTGAATCAAGAATTACAGAAGACTCAGATAATAACAAGGAACCCAGAATTGTCGTCGAACGCTGTTAAAGGTGATGAGCCAAAGGAAGAAGTTAATGCAGATTTTGAAGGTTTGTTCTTTTTTTCGTACTGTATTATGATTATTTTTTTATTTGATTGAGACTTTCCTAAAAACTAAGTTGGGAAGTAAAATCATCAAAGCTGAAATTCACTTTTTTAGGCCACTCTGTATCAAGTCCGTTGGAAAAGCCATTTGCGTGGACAGAGCTTGAGGCCCGATTTGCCAAGGTAATGCGACAAAACGCAGAGTTAACTGAACAAAATGAACTGCTTGATCATATTATTCAACAACTGCAGTGTGAAAATGATACAATTGGTAAGTTAGAACTGGTTTTTAAGGTTGTCGGTTCTTCTCATTTTTGTTACCCTTGAGATATTTTCCTCAAATGTTCTTAGTACTTTGGTAACATAGCAATTTCAGGTGAATATGTTACTATTTACCACCACCAAAGAAAGCTAATACAGGAACGTGTTCGAGCTAGAGATGAAGCTGTTGCCAGACTTTCGCTTGAAAAAGAGCAAATGAAGGTTTATTCTTTTATGTATTAGGAAATCTAAAGCTCATTTGAAGCATTACGTATTAGAGTTTTCTTGAAATTATTATTATTTTTGTTTTTGTTTTTGTTATTGTCGTTATTACTATTGCCATTGTTATTATACTTTACTCATTTAATGAGTTGGCTGAATACATTCACCGTTTTTTTATACTTTCAGCAAAAATTGAATGATTTGCAATCGGCAGTTTCACTCCTTTTTTCATCAAACGATTCATTCAATAAATTGGCATACAGGTTGAATGGTGCCTCTATGCATACTCCGAACCATCCAGAAAAACCGTTAAAGTAACTGATCATTTTTATTTTTATTTTATTAAATAATTTTTTAAATTACATATTATTTTTATCATTTAGCTTTTTAACTGTATTTCCAAGCGTTTGTTGGAGTTTTGGTGCTTAATGTTACAACAGTTTATTAGCAGCTTGTTTTTGCAAAGTACTTCACTTTTAAAATAAGTGGAAAAAATTTTTTTTATTTGTAGTGACTATGCTACGAACGAATACCCTGAAGAAGCTAAACAAGATAATAAAAATTCAAGCTGTCCTGGTCTTGAGTGCGTCCCGCACCCTCAAGAATTTGAAAACGGAGCTTTGAGTAAAGCAGAAACTAGTAATGAAAATCCAGGTTTGCTCTGTACTGTTTTTAAATTTTGTTTTCTTTGCTTTCGTATCGTTTAATTATGCAGCTCCTTAATTTTATCTTTAGTGGGTCGTGTGGCTGAGGATACTGGAGAAGTATTGGAGGATAAGATTATGCGTTTAATAAGTGAGTTGCAGGTGGGGCCATTTGTTAGTTAGCACCTGTTAAACTTAACTTTTTGTTACCTGTCGCTTCTTTATTTGATAATTCGGCACTAATTCATTGTTTCTATCATATTATCAAAAGAGCACTTGTTTTCAGGATATGGAGCAAGCACGTATGCATCCGCCTTGTGCCATCAATATATGTTGCAAAGAATGTCGTGGCAAACTGATTACGCTGTGATTAATATCGGGTTAATTAAAATCTTTTTTAATAAAAATTGTTGTTTTGTAGATAATTCGGTTTATCTAGGTTGTGGTTGTTTACATGCTGTATATTCATGAAGGAAATTTGTTCTGTTACGGTTCATTTTGATTTGCTAGGTTTTAAATCCTACTTTTCCACTGTCATTGTTGCGTAGTATTGTTTCAAAGACCTTTTCCTAGATTTTAAGTCTGTTAATAAGGAAAGAGCGAATAGACAACAAAAGAAGAGCCAAGTATTAGTGGTCTCGTTGTTTTTAGCTGCTCTTTAAATGTATAAATCCGTGTATATTGTTTTTGACATAGAGACCAAATTTTTCTGTGAACGTTTTCTTAGTCCTTTTTTTCTTTTCTTACAGTCCAGTTAGGTGTGAGTGATTTGAAAAGTAGATTAAATTTTTGGTTTGTTAAGTAGAAGTATTTAAGCTACTAATTTTTAACTGTTCCTTTTATAATTTAAGCCGCTTCTGAGTGTTTCTGGTTTGTTCTCTTCCTAATCAGAGCTGTGAATGTTAGAGTTAAGTTTTTTAAAGCTTCGTTG